ATAGTTGAACGATAGTTGTACTTACCCATTCACAAGAGTGTTTTTCGTAATTTAACATAACATAAGGGGTTGACCGTAATTTACCATATTTCTTACACAATATTGAAGTTTGAACCATAACTGAAGCAACAAGGTAGGGAAAAAAACCGTAAACAAGAAAACTTCATCAAAAGTTCAAAACTGAGACTTTTTTTAATTAATTTTAATTAATAATTATTAATCGTTAATAATTAATATTTAATATCAGTAATAAAGTCTCAACCTTTGGAAGACGCAGCTAAATCTTGAAAGCCTATATTTATTTATTCTTTTCCTGCAATAATATTTAGCTGCGATTAAGAACTCGAAAAGTCTATTAAATTTTTCTTAGTGTGATATTAAAATAAAAATGGTGAGAGAGTTATTATGTAGCAGTTATTGCAAAATAGATGCATACAATATGAGCGAGAAGAAATCAAGAAACAGAATAATCAAAATAAACAGAAAAGATATGCAAAATCATCAAAGCTACAAGGTTGCGAAATTGACATCTAGAAAATATTATTAATATTAATAATAATATTATTATTATTGCCCAGAAATAAGAAGGAAAAATCAAATCTTCAAACCCTTTTTTCCTCAACCCCAACCCCAACCCACACCCAATAATAATTCTCTCTCTCTCTCTCTCTCTATATATATATATCTGTACATCGGCTTTTTTTTAATAGCAATCGATAAAAGATTCGGCCCTTCCTTCTTTCTCTGTCTAGAATTCCTTGAATTCTCCGCCAAGTTTGGTTTGGGGGTTAATTGTTCATGGGTCAATAGAAGGGCGAAGAAGGTAACCCGGAAGAATTACACCAGACGAATCATGGCAGAAGGTATCAATTTAGCATTTTTTTTGTTGTTGTGCCGCGTGATGATTTACTTTGTGGTTTCGGTTTTTGCAACTTGATTTAATTGGCTTTGTTTGATTTTAGCTCAATTGTTGATTTTGATTTTTTTGGGGGATTCTGGAGTTTTTGGGAGGGTTTGTGTCCTTAATTTAATTTCTGAGATTTTTGGTGGGCAATGTTGCTACAGCTCGGAATCTGATTTCTGGGTTTTTTGTTTTACTTTTAGAAGTTGCTTTTTTATTTAGGGTTCATCTAATTGTATATGTATATGCTCAATTTATCTAATGGACAGAAAAATTGGCTGTTTATGTTATGAAATTAGTTCCTTAGGAGGTCGATCGACAGCAGGAGAGTCTTTAATCGTTATGGTTTGGTGATTGTACTTCTGTTTGAGTCGAAGAAAACCGCTTTTGCATTTCGATTTTCGAAACATATTTGTCGTTTGATGTTCTTTGGTTCATGGCTTCATGATTATTCCGATGTTAATGTTTGCCTTTGGGTGTGTGCTAATTTGTCGTTTGTTTAAAAAGTTAGCTGCAGATCGCTTTCGAGCGTTTTTATTGGTCTGTATCTTTTCCTTAACAAGCTTTTCATCAGTCTCGAAGGAATTTATTTTTTAGGATCGTCGACAAAGATGTTACTTTTCGGTTTGCTTGTCCTTTCTGTAAGAGATAAATGGGAATAAAGATAAAACGACGTGTGATTTTTGGAATTCGTTGATTTATAGGGTACTGATGAAATTCAAACAGTTATTGGATAACATTGATTCGTACGGAATCGATTATCTTTCTTTGTTCACCTTCAATATATCTGTGTTTTGTCTTTGAGCGAAGTAGCATAATGAAATTGCTTTTCATTGTATTCGGTAGTTATATTTCCGATGAAAAATATAATTTGTCGGGTCACTTTTTAATCAACCCTCTTTGTACTTACCCGCGTTCCTTTTTTGTCATTAATGATTTAGATTCATGCGAGATGCATTCCGAAGATGACAAAGCGCTTCTCGAAAAGAACAAGAAAAGGATTGTCAAGACACGTGAGCAGGTCGAGGCACTCGAGAAATTTTACAACGGTATATATATAAATTTTTCTCTTTTGTGACGCCTTTGTCTTGCATTTCCTTTTGTCTTCATTCAAATCGATTATTTATATAAAATGTCTGTTGCTCTCTCTCTCTCCCCCCAGAACATAAATATCCAGCAGAATCGATGAAAATACAGATGGCAGAGTCAATAGGTTTGACCGAGAAGCAAGTCTCCGGTTGGTTCTGCCACAGGAGATTGAAGGACAAGAAAATAATAAAAAATGGGGAAAACTTAACCACCGGTGGTCGATCGAGCGGAGTAGTACAAGATCGGACAAGTGGGCACAGGCAAGATTCCTGTGGCAGCACAAAACAGGGAGAAGACAACAGGAATTTCGAGACAAGGGAAGTTGAGAGCGGAAGGCATGTTCCGAAGGAATATTCCGCAGTGGACCCCACGTACGAGCGTGGCAGCCACTTTGGCGGGACCCACAACAATAACCGTACGGAAGATGCTTCTTCCGGAAGCAGCTCCTCTCTGCGTAATATGTCCGGCCACCAAAATGGGAGCCCCTTTTTCGATGCTACTGCAGCAATTTCGAGGTACCCCGTACCGAAATTCACACAGCCGGAGGTGAAGAGCGTGCCAGCTAGGCGGGGCCCTTCTGGTTACTTGAAACTGAAGGGTCAAGTTGAGAATGCTTCGATAACTGCTGTGAAAAGACAGCTGGGGAAGCATTATAGGGAGGATGGTCCTCCACTTGGTGTTGACTTTGACCCTCTTCCTCCTGGTGCGTTTGAGTCGTCGGTGCAGGATGCAACTGAAGGTGATTTATTTACTAAAAACTGCATTTTTTGGACGATTTTACCCTTCTATCGCTTTTTTGCATGTCTCAAAGTAATAACTCTTGTTTGCTCTATTATTGATTGTTTTTTTTCAGAAACTTACGACAGTGGTGAAGATGCTCTCCCAGCCTCGCCTGATGTTTCGAAAATTCGCCAGAGTTCCAAGTTTGGCAAGGTAACTGAATTTTCATGGTTGATTTTTTTTATATATTTTTTCAGATCTTGCGTATAATTGATTATTGAATTAAATGGCGTAACATCTCGTCGTATGTTGTACTCGAGAAGTTCTTGCCTCTGTTAGCCATTAAAAATCTGCTAAATTTATATCTGAAATCTCGGATCTCTAGATGATTTACTTAGTCCGCAGTTCTTAAGACTCGGAAATAAGGAAAGAAAAAAAAAATCAGCATGCAGACAATGGTGCTTAATGGAGTATCTTTAGCAGATTACTACTAATATTGTTGATCTGAATAAGTTATTGAACAATCCAATTCGAGATTGTCTTGCCGTAGTTTCTTACTCAGGCGTTGAATGAGTAATTTTGCATCTGCCCGTTTCTATTTTATTATCTGAATCGATATGGTTGTTTTTTAGTTCGCATTAAGGTGATATACTGTATTTTCTTCTTATGTCAAAATAAAATCCTCGTAGGGATGTGAATACAAGCGCATGGCGTCTAATAACTCCGAAATCGATGGATCGAGTTTCAAAGCGAGGCGCAAGTGTGATATTCCAAATGGCTACATTCCCGAAAAATTTAGGGTAAAGAATTCTGTGTCCAATGGCGGTACTTATTATCCGAGTAGAAACTCTTCGGTAGAATTGCCTGAAAATATTGATAGAGGTATACCTACTAACCCGCAACCGTACCGTGGGAAAGTGAGAGAGGAACGAGCAGAGTCCTGGTCCCGCAAGTACAATGATGTCAGCACAAAGATTCCAGTCGGAGAAAATAGTGAAAACGAGTTTTTCAATATGAGGATGAAAGCAAATCAATATCACAATCCCGAGGACAAAGTGACTTTATCCAGACAAATTATCAAGGTTTGGAATTGATTTATTTATTAATTAATAATGGCCCCTCGATAAGTATTTTGCTCTGACAATTATGTAATATGCAGGATGGCAAAATGTACCATGATAGGAGGATGGTAAATGAAAATCGAGTAAATATCCCTTCCAAGAATGACTTCATTGTAAGTTTTTTTCGTTTTCTCTATGCAGTAATATTTTTTTCAGTATTCCATAAATGTAAGTGTTGACGTATTTTTTCTTCTGTACGTGTTTCTTTTTAAATTCATTTATTTTAGGGTCAGAAAAGAATGAGAGAAGAATTTCCTCAGCAACAATACCTGAAAAGATCACCGATTGTGGACAACCTACCACCGACATATCAAGTCGTAAGGTTTGTCCTACATAACTAACTTCTCAATATATATATATATATATATATATATATATATATATATATATATATATATATATATATATATATATATATATATATATATATATATATATTGTCTTATTTGGGCTTGTCTCTAATGTACATATATGCATGTTTCAGGTCTGCAGCAGAGATGCCGTCTAGTTTTAGTGAAGACGAGGAAAGTGCAGAAACGAGTTCTTCAATGGATTAAGGAAAAATGGTGGTGAGGAAAAATAAAAATTATGAGCTGAAAATGTGTTTTGAATGGAATTTCCGTAGAATCGGTCTCAGATTGGTGGAAGTGTTTAAGGTTTCAAAATTTCTAGACTGGTAATTAGAAATAGCTAGTTTATGTAGAGGAATATTGTAATTATCGAGGACCGGTGATTTTTATCCTGGCCTTATGTCAAACAAAAACAACCTTGTTGTGTGTGTGTGCGCTAATTTATTTTCCTTGTACAGAAGCGGTTTTTAATTTAATTCGAGGAAACAAATAAATACATCTGTCGATTTTTATGTGTGTTTGTGCTTATTTTACGTTGGATGTAAACTAAATATCGAGAGATATTTAGTGGTATTTGATTACAATCGATACATATGCCGAGATGTATCGTTTACATCGAAATCGTATCATATTGCGATGCATATGCAATATTTGACTACACTGTTTGGAGTGTATATATCTAAATTTTGTTTAAGTTTAATACTTTCGGAATAAAATATTTTCGATTGGCACATAGTAAAAGGATAACCGGATGAATTCCATTATCATCAAATAACTTGAAAATGATAGGATATATGTAACCATGTAAGCTCGAAGGGTGTTTCTTCAATACTGTTCTAAATGAACCCTTCGAGTTAATTTTCAGACGGATTTTTATTTTCGTTATTATTTTCAATTCCAACTTAAAACATGGCTTCTGCAAATTTAACCCATTTTGTAACATTGACATATATGAGAGAGTATTATATAATATGGGTTCACAAATGAGAAATATTACTAGTAGTAGTAATTTTACTAATAATGACCAAAAATCTGGTAAAACAAACTCTGGTGCATTAATTAAGTTAGTCCTAAAACCCCTTCACATATTATCCTCTTCTTTGTAAGTAAATTTTCAATTTCTTCTTCTCAACAAATCTCTCTCAGTCTGCTTTCTTGTTTGAATCTGCCTCACTAGTTTCTTCAGAGCTAGTTTCTTCCGTCTTTGACTCGTCAAACGCCAACAACTGCATATAAGAGAGATAAAACACCCTCACTTTAAGTTGTAATAAATTACGATGAATGAGAATAACTATATATACATATAGTCGAACCAAATTATCCAAATTTATAGTGTTGAAAAGTCACTCACAGGTTTGACTTCTCCATTCCATAAACAATGTGCAGCCAAAAATCCGATAACACCGGGCACGATATACAACAACGCAGGCTGTAAGGAGATTAAGAAGCAATAATTTAGAAGATTAGACCATTAAAACTATAATAAATAAGAGGTATATTTGGACGATTCAATAGTGTTGAAAAGAAATTACTCACCTGTGCAGCTTGAAACCAGTTCATGACAATGATTGTGGCAACCAAACCAGCGGTATATCCTACAAAAGCGCTCTTAAAATATTGGCTCTCTTTCCCTCTCGAAACATCAAATCTTAGTGCCAGTGCTACAAAAATTCCTGAAAAGCAAAAGCATATTTTAAATATTTATTCGGCTACAAATTAACAAGAAGAATCATGCAGATATCAGCCTATTTGCACGAATGATTGGAAAAGTGAGCGCCAAAATTTAATTTCAACAGTTACTTGTACCAGGAATCACTATATCACCAAGTCCCAACATTGAAAATGGACGTGCAGCATCTGATGTTGGGAACAAAAGCTGTATAAAGTGAAGCATAATTTGTATTAGATAATATTTGAAAGAAAAAGAATAGTAGGAAAATACAGAAAAATCATCATCAATATGTTATCTTTTTAGACTTGAGCACAGACCTTTATTGGAGCATCAAAAGACTTGGCAACGCTAACCATAACAGGCGTAAAGAAGACCCAGAATATGTCATATACAAAAAGCCCGGCCTGCAATTTGCACATAAAAAATATGCATTAACTAAAAGTCCATTAAAAGTTGCATGAAATAGTATCTCACGGCCTCAGCAGATAAAGAAATAATCTTGAAGAAAGTGAATAGTTAACAGTGACTAAAATTATTAAATAATCAAGTATGTCACTCTTACCAAGAGAATAGCACCAGTCTTAAATGAGCCGAGTGAAAGCATTTCAATTCCCTGAAATTATTTTTGAAAGGAAAATCAATAAAATAATTCACTTCTAATTTCAAGATGTACAATTTTGATTTTTCATCCATTAGCACAATCTTGTCAAGTTGGGGGTGTAAGAAGAAACAGTAAACAAAAAATGTTCAGCTAACAAACCTGAATGCAGAATGCAAGTCCCAAGATATTGTTAGCTAGCCAATGCTTCTTTGAAGCGTACCAAACACAAAAAAAGGTCCCAGGAATTGCAGCAATGATTTGTGATTTTGTAAACTCAACCTCCAAAGCTGTGTGACAAATGTGTATAGAAAAATATCATTCTCCATATTACAAGCAATACAATGCAAGCAAATAAAACATAAAGCTTCAATGGAGAACGACTGTACTTCCAATGGATAGTTAAGAATCATTGTCTATCACATTAGTATTTGAAATGCTTATTACCAATTCTTTTATGGGATGTCCAAGAAAAAAATCATTTATAGAGAAAAAAAAAATTCTTTCAAAATTATCAATCAAAGAAATGCTGTTACACCACCAACTATCTACCACTAATTTTTAAAGGTAATACCGTTCACCAACTTATGACTATTTTACTCTCATCTAAAACTAGGCATGCCAAGTGAAATTAAATGATTAAGTTGAGAAGTACAAAGCGATGCATCAGGAAGTGACAGTATGAATATATCAACACATGAAGGAAATAAGATACAGAGGAATTCATAAGTACATACACCGAAAATATGGGAAACGCCATACAATGACGTTATCATTCCATGGGTTGGGCAGGAATCGTTTAATTGCAGGTAGCAATGTTGCCCTACAAAGTTGAAAGGAAATAAGGAAGGTTAATGGACAAATACTACAACTGTACAAGAAAATCATCCATAAAATAAAACTCAGCTAGATAAAATATATAACAGCCATATGGAAAAACTTACGAAAGAGCAGCAATCCCAAGTACGAAAAAGTAACACGTTAATACAGCATTAACCAAGTCTTTTGATAAAAATTTGAAAAGCAAAAACAATGACAGCAACATTGCGCTCCCAACCAATGGAAACCGCATGGCATGTTCATTGGACATAGTCTCCTGAAAATTTTAATAGTGATGAAACAAACATAAGGTTAAAAAGAATCCCTAAGGGATTAATTGTCGGATATGCATTTAGAAGCCCAACTTACAGTAGGTGGAGTTGCCTTAACCGAGCGATAGCAACCAACATATACAGTTAGACAAGCCGTCAAGATAACATTTAGATTTGGGTCCACCTTCACGACGAGTGGGGCAAAGGTCAAAGCTGCAGTAAATGATAAAGAATGTGGTCACAAGGAAGACCCAACAGGGAAATATGATAAACCAAGAGGGATATTTAAATCAGAAGCAAACTAAAGTCTGAGCAAACCCGAACAAGGAGGGATATTTCATATTCACAAAAACTATGATGGTACAATTAGGGATTGATTTGTACAGAACAATTCATAAACATTGTAGACCACCAACAAAAATTCAGTACCCATAAGATCTAACACACATTTTTGAAAGAAATCATGCTATGATCAGATGATGGTTAGTGAAACAAGGTTCTTTAAGCATAAATAATCATCATTTTTTCCTCTTCGTACAATTTCTTCTTTGACAAAGAAAATGATATTAAAGACGACGGCTAAATCACTGACTGACAAAAACTTACAAAAAGGGAATCAACAGTTTGATTTGTCCCCCAAAACCACGAAACAAACAACACTTTCATGCAATATTCAATACACGTTCCCATATAACCCCAAACACAACCACATGTGCATATAATCAAGAGATTAAGGGGTGAGAAGAATGTATCTAACAGTGTCCCACAAATAATTCACAGATTTCAATAAACTAGCGCAAACCAAATGTTCTGAAACAAACAAACTCACAAAAATAGAAAAAGGATCATACCTGCAAGAGCCAAATTAGCGAGACGCTCGTGATTCTTCATTCTGAATTTTAAAAGATTCTGAAGCGTCCTTGATTTTTCTCCAAAGAAACTACAGCATCAAAGACCAAGATAAATATACAACAAAAAATCAACTAGCACATCAAGCTGTGATCTTTCCAAGATCCATTACTCTTCATTTGTTCAAGATACATAGAATATCGAAAAAAATTATCATGAAAACAGTGATTCAGCACACAAAATTTGATCTTCTTTCAAATCAAGCAATTCAGTTTTCATTTTGTCAATATGCGTACAATCACGACAAAGATTACCATGATACAGTGATTCAGCCCATAAAATTTAATCTTTCAAATGATGCAATTCAATTAGTTAATTCTTAACCCGGCAGATTAAATCTCAAGATCACGTACGAAAGAAAATCTTCTCCAATTATACAATAATCACAACCCAAACAAGTTTTACGAATTATTAAATTCAAACAATAAATATAAAATCTTCAGTTTGTCTAAAAAGTTCAATCCTACATATACATTCATATCTACAGATACAAACATATTACAAACAAAAAAATCGAGATAAAAATTGGGGATTTGGGGATGAAACCTTCAAGCGAGAAGAAACTAATAGGGTTCCTTTTCCTCTCTGCCCGTATCCCAATCTTCAATTCCGAACTCACAGATCGGGGACACCTTCAGTGTGTGTAATTTCTCACACACTTTCAGAGAGAGAGAGAGAGAGAGAGGGAGAGAGAGAAAAGGGTTTTAGTTATTACGCTCAGAAGAAAAGGGGTAGAATTTTTTTTATTTTAATAAATAGGCATTTTTGGAGATTTATAAAATCGCAGCAATTATGACGTCAAGGTTGTACCTTTTGACCAGAGTGGCTACTTTCTATAAGTCAGTCGAACGTACAACCACTCCGATGCGTATTCACGAACCGCAGGATAACATACTGCAGGGGTTGCTGCCCGGCGGAGCCACGTCCCGTGAGGAGCATTGGGCCAATCATATATCGCCACGTCGGATTCCGGAAAATATCTTATGAAGGATCCTTGTGCCTTGTCACGCTTTATTTTATTATCTTAATATTTATTAAACTAACTTTAAGGTCCTTGTAGTATCACTAATTACAATGACCCCTGAAACATTGTTAGAAACCCTAACGAAATATGCATTGGATAAGTTATTTCGTTAGACCTCGTTTCGTTGGAGAGATTAGCTATGATTAATTAAATAATGAGACTTTGTTTGATGTCTGGTATCCCCAACAACTTGTCGGGGCACCCGCAAATATTATGTTTTTTAATTGGATCTTCCAAGGTCCAATAATACAATTGGCTTCATTAGATTATTTAATTTTATCTTTGCTATCTTATCTTGGCAACCAAACAAAGTTTTGTGGTTCTAACGGACTATTAGTTTCAGGCAATGGTGGAAACAACATAGAATTAGGGGCGACATGACTCCCCTAATACTTCTTAGATCCTTATTATTTTAAGTAGGATTTATAATTTTAAGTCTATGCTAGCATTAACGGCCCCGTGGAAAACAAATATAGTGCATATCGGTCCTCATGACTTGAAATCTTGGCTCCGGTAATAGTTTTAGGAATGTAGATGTAATTACAATACTACAAGGACCTTAAAGTTATTTTAACATACCTCAGGGGTGTTGGTGTAATTTTCCCTAATATTTATTTAATTAGAAGATAAATGAAATATAAAAGTATTATTGTTTTTTAAAAATAAAATGGATATGTACTAAAAGTGCTTAAATGAAAAACGCGATTTATGAATGCAGGCATTATGATAGCTCGTAAAAAGAAAAATATGACCTCACTCTCTCTCTCTACGCTCGTCAATGGCGGCAAAGCAACCATTTCTCCACTGCAAGAAATTCTCCCTGCCAAGACGCAGTTTTTCTTCACAAATCCCAATTAGCTGCTCATCCACCAATTCGCAGCAATCCCTTTCTTCGGATTCATTTTTGGTAGAAAAGATTTTATGGGCTCTAAAAAGAGGTCAGTCGATCAACACCCATTTATTTTACCAGCTGAACCCATCAACATACACCCAAGTTCTATGCCAATGTCGCAACGATGTTCATACTGGTCAGAAATTCATCGATTTAGTTGCGTTAAACTATCCCAATTTCAAGCATTCGTCCCTATCATTGAGCGGCGCGGTACACGTGTTGGTGAGCAGTAAAAGAATATCCGATGCGCAGTCTTTGATTCTGAGGATGATTAGGAGGAGCGGAGCTTCTCGAATTGAGATCGTCGATTCGTTATTCGGCACTTACGCGAAATGTGGGTCGAATTTATACGTTTTCGATTTGTTCGTTAGGACTTACGTTCAAGCTAGGAAGTTTCGGGAGGCGGTTGAAGCCTTTCGTTTGTTGGATTTACGGAACATTGATGTATCCATCAATGCGTGTAATAGTCTTCTAGGTGGACTTGGTAGAATCGGGTGGGTCGATTTGGCACGAGAGGTGTTCGATGAAATGATCACAAGAAGAACCGATTTGAATGCTTACACACTCAACATCATGGTGAATGTGTTCTGCAAGGATGGTAAGATTGAGAGAGCAAAGGGGTTTTTAACCGAAATGGAGGAAAGAGGGATCTTTGCCGATATAGTGACGTACAATACTTTGATCAACGCTTATTCTCGTGAAGGGAATATCGAAGAGGGTTTAGAAACGATGAGGTTGATGCGTGATAAGAATTTGGAACCTAGTCTTTTGACTTACAATTCGATAGTCAACGGTTTGTGCAAAAACGGGCACTACGCGAGAGCCAAGGGAGTTTTAAACGAGATGGTGCAGAACGGGCTTTGTCCTGATACGTCCACTTACAACTCGTTGCTAGTTGAGTGTTGCAGAAAAGATAATTTGGTAGAAGCCGAGGCAATTTTTAATGAAATGCTATCGAACGGTGTGACGCCGGATTTGATTAGTTACAGTTCGGTTATCGGGTATTTTTCAAGAATTGGAGATCTTGGTCGTATGATAGGTTATTACAAGGATATGCAGAGCAAAGGGCTAATACCCGACAAAATCGTCTACACCATTCTGATTGGTGGATTCAGCAGGCACGGTGCTATTGCGGAGGCTATGAACGTGCGTGACGAAATGGTGACACGTGGCTGCCAGCTGGACGTGGTGACTTACAACACTCTTTTGAACGGCTTATGCAAAGAGCATATGCTTTGTGAGGCGGATGCCCTTTTCAACGAGATGGTTGAAAGGGGCGTTTTTCCCGATTTTTGCACTTACACAACCCTAATAAACGGGTACTGCAAAAAGGGTGATATGGATAGAGCATTGGACTTGTTTGAATCTATGCTTCAAAGAAATCTCAAGCCCGATGCGGTTACGTATAATACATTAATCGATGGATTTTGCAGAGTAGGTGAAATGGGAAGAGCTATAAATTTGAGGGATGATATGATTTCTAAAAAGATAAATCCTAATTATATAACGTACGGTACTCTAATGAATGGATTCTGCAACGGTGGTTATTTACCGGATGCGTTTAAATTATGGAACGAGATGGTCGATAAAGGCATCGAGCCCAATATCGTAATTTGCAATTCTCTTGTGAAGGGGTACTGCAGGAATGGTGAGCTGGATAAGGGATTCGAGTTTCTGAGTAAGATGAAATCGAGAGGTGTTCATCCCGATTGCGTTACTTACAACACGTTGATACATGGATTTATGAAAGAGGAGAATGTTGACTTGGCCTTTGACTTGGTGAATCGAATGGAGAAAGAAAATCTTGTGCCCGATTCGGTTACGTATAATGTTATTCTGGACCAGTTTTGCAAGCTCGGTAGAATGCAAGAAGCGGATACGATATACAGAAAGATGATTAAGGGGGGAATTAGTCCCGATAGATCTACGTTTACTTCGTTGATCAACGGATTTGTGTCGCAGGAAAATTTAAAGGAAGCTTTTCGGTTCCATGATGAAATGCTGAGGAGGGGTTTTGTGCCGGACGATAAGTTTTAGTTTCGAATTGTTGTGCTTGTATTCGATTTTATGTGTTCGATGTTTGTAATTCCGCAGGTGTTCGAGAGGTTGATGTATCGAGCAATAAAATATATACTGGGGAAAAGTTTTGATGGAACATTACTTGATTTTGTTGTATATTCTTCTTGGATGTGTAAGTAAAGATTGATAGGCCATTCTTGGAATGTAACTAGCAATTAGTTCGTCAAATTTAACGGAATCTTAAAGATTACGTGGAATGTTTTGTGGTATGTAGTCGCTGTAAACATAAAAACAGTTTCATATGCACAACAATCTGATATTTACAAGCTAAGAGATTCGTATCTTATGATCATCTTGTTTCAAAATGTGGAACTGGAATGGGATTAAACGGATCCAAACTAAAAAAATATTTCACATAATCTAAAAGATTCCGTTAAATTTGACAATGTAAGGGTGGGCGTGTAAGACGATTCATAAATGAAGGGGCGGTTGTAATTATTCTAAATGAAAGATTTTTCGTAATTTGACTTTATATCTATATCAATGAAGTAGCTGTGATTTACCTTTATTTTTTATTGAGCAAATTACGCCCACCTCCTGCGATATGGACAAATTACGAAAAAACCCTTATTGTTTGGGTAATTACAGCCACCCCCTCCTTTTAAATATTTTTACAAAAAATTTATGTAATTCGGTTATTTACCGAAACCAAATTGTGTATTCAGTTCGGTAAATGATATGAAATGCTGGCGTACCGAAATTTCGTGTTCGGTTTTACCGATTTAACATCCCAAAATTTACCTTTGAAGGGGTATTTTCGTAAGATAATACATATTCGAGGGGATGACTATAATTACCCAAACAATATGGATATTTTCGTAATTTGACTATACCTCATGGGTAATTTAATTTAACTTGGGCTTGGGCTCGGGCTTATCGAGGAGATGAAGGTAAATATTTAAAAATTAGAGAAATTGAGCTATCAAATTGTAATGCAAATTGCAAATGGAAGGGTTGTTGAAATATTGGAAGCAACGACGGGAAAGGAGAGGTGGTGGTGGGGGTGGCGGAGGAAGGAGACAAAGTGTACGGCGGAGGAAATCGCGGGACGTATAGATACGGTTGTCACGTTATCTTGTCCTCCATATCATCCATTCATTGGCTTTATATTATTTAATATAATAATATTTGTACCTTTTATTTATATATTATTAAATAAGAAATTGGCTTAATTTGTGTGTCGTCAAACTCAATCCATTGAATTTGAAAGAGAAATGAATTTCAACCATATTTCCTGAATAAATTGATAAAAGACAAATGTTATGATTAAAGAAATTATTGAATTAAGGTTTGTATTTGATGCATGTGTGTTTAATTGGATTTTGGCCCAACTAGCTTAAGAGGGCTAAACCCAATTAGATCACTTTGCTTTTTTTTTTTTTTTTTTTTTGGTTTTTTTAATAACAAATTCACATTCTATCTCATCTATAAATGTGAGATGCCATTGATCACCTCACAAGGTATATATTGTTTTGGTGATTAATTAACCATTTGTTCATATTGCTTATGATTTAGTGATTTAATTCCTGAGGACGATCATCAGAACATTTTCGCGAGTCACTTCAACTTGTGAAATTAAAATTTTTATACAAGATAAAACCCGAAATTAATCTAGTAGTATTCCGAAACTTACTGTAATGACATGAAAAGATTCATGAACTGGCATGAAACTACCAGCTGTTCGGACAAGAGTTGTTGAGCCCATAAAAGTAGAGAATGTCGAATATTATTGTCACATATCTAAGGTAGTCGAGAAGATAGATCCACTCATTGCCGCTCCAATGTCGATTAAGCATCCAATAATTTACGAGCCCGCAAGGATAGATATACACTGGTTAAGCTATAAAATAGTTGATTGTTTCACGTGTGAGACGTAGTCGAGAGGATGTATCCACTCATTGCTGCTCAAATGTCGATAGAACAACCCAAGAGTCGAGATCCCCTCGCTATTATCATATGAAGTGTCTACGATTTTTTTCTCCAAGTTTATCCCACTATAAATAACTGATAAATGAAATAATAATAAAATCATGATTATGTTAGTTGATGAACATTAACTTTAAACAAAATATTTAAAAATAGAAAGTAGAATACAGTAAATACAAAAAAGATAGATACAGTGTAGAGAGAGAGAGAAGAAGAGCGGTGGGCTCGAGGAGAACCTTGTAATTCGCGAATAAGGGAAAATAAGAACACAAAAGCAATGTCACTGACAATTTGCCGTACTACTACTCCACCCCTATATACTATATGTATCTATATATATATATGTATTCTATAGTGTATGTATATGTTAGCCTCCTTTTGTAGGTGTGTGTAGACTGTATAACTAGATCTCCGCTGTAACTCACTTCTTCTCCTCTACTACTAAATCCTAAACCCTAGATTTTTTTGATTTGACTCCACCTACCTTACACCTGGACTTTCACTCCACGCGCCTCCCTTTTTTTTAATTGCATTGTGATATTTTTTGGAGTTAAGCTCAAATTACGAAAAAAACTATTCATGTTTATGTAATTATAACCATCCCTGACAACTATAAATTTTTTACACGTCTATCTTTGTAGTGGAATATTCTGAAGTTTGTATTTGTTTTATTTAATTCGAGCTTCTTTTTTTAAATAAGATGATCACAAGATGTGTCTCTTGGCTTGTAAATATCTGACTGTGGTGCATTAGAAACTGTATTTTTGCATAAAACGTGTACAAACTTGAAAACATTCCAACAAATATATAAGATTCTGTTGGATTTGGCACTATAAGGATGGTCGTGTAAAAACATTCATAATTGAATAGATAATTGTAATTATTCGAAATATGAGGGTATTTTTAGTAATTTGAGGAAAATACATCTTATTTCACAAATTTAAATACAATTGTTGGATGAGTACGTGGACTGATCTGAATTTGAGAGTCACGTGGGTGTTACAGCGCGTGGTACGGAGTGTCAGTGAACGGGTTCACGTAAGTGCGATTGTAGGTGATTACTATTATTATATTTTATTTTGAGATTATTAGTTTTTTTTATTAATAAATGAAAGAAAATGTGCGAGTGGGAGATGGGGGCCATGGCCCCACAGGGAGACAGAATTCAGAAAAAAAAGTTGTTTTCTTTCTCCAAGACCGCCGCTTTCTTTCTTGAGAAAAGTTTACATCTCATTATTTTATTTCTCTTGTAATTATTATTTATTCTCCCCTTCTTTTTATTTATTTATTTATTTTTAATTACATATTATTCTTGCATTCTTTTTTTGTAGTATTTTAATGAATATTCTCTCATATTTCATAATATACATGGTTAATTTTAATTTATTTGTTGGTTTATAATCCACTCATAATGAGACAGCTGTAAAAGATAATTCATGTTTTTTAAGTTCAGTTGTTGACTTATATTCGACATGCTCAGTAAAATAAAAAAAAAGTATAATCATAAATAAATAAATAAAATTGTATAGGAATAGAATCAGATGGAATAAAACCATAGAGGTAACAACAAACACTAGAGTTACAATAATTTATGTACCTAAGTCCAGTTTGAAATAATTAGATGGTTTGTGCACGGGGATGAATGAATGACAATTATATGGGCAGGAAAATAAAATCTAATTGGGGAAGTGACATTTGTACTTGTACCTTCTCTCCCAATGTTTTTTTTACTCATTTTTTATTCATATTTTAATTCCAAATTATTGGTCTATAAATAAAAACAAAAAGTGTTACTAATAACAAGAATACCACTTTGAACAAAATAAATAAAATGGTTAACACATTGTCTAGTCTCCTGGTGGAGTTAGGATTTCATCACTAGTAGGAAGATAATATACATTAATTAAATTTAAATAAAAATAACATAAAATACATTAATGAGGACAACGATGATCCAAGAGT